TATGTTTATACGTGAAATTCCGGAGGGTACGTCGGATGGCGTCACGTGGTGACGTAATGACGTGTGCCATTAATCGAACTATGTACTATAACATGTAAAACGGGAACATGAAAGGAATATTCTAAAAGCAACTCATGTAAACACCATAATCATAATATTGGCTTATTTAAATAAGGTAAATAATTAGATTACTGATGTCCATGTAAACGTAGTCACTGATAACAAGGTTGAGGGGTCCTGTTATCCTCTGCATCTGTAATGCATTTAGGGAAGAGTGTGGACAGAAAAAAAATAATAATTTCAGCCAAGAAAGTCCGGGAAGTGAGGAAATTCCAACTGACAAACTGGATATGGAAGACACTGACGCATAGGCCAAAGACCAAAAACAGCACAAGCCTCTGCACGCTGACGTGTCACTGCATAAAACAGTCGCTTAGAGGATTATTGTGACTCAGGCTAGGCTGAGACTGCTGCTAGAACTGGACCTAAAGTGTGAGGATTTCAGTAGAGTCTGCATTATCTACAGGAACTATAGTTAGGAGTATACATAAAATCGCCATGTGCAGTTCTGGAAGATCTCATGGAAATATGAAGCCTGACGACTAGATTTGGTTAAAAGATTAGTTCACCCAAGAAAGTAATCTCTGACTCACTCTCATGTCATTCCAAACCTGTACAACTTACTTCCGCTGAACACAAATAGAGAAATTTTGGACTGTGTATCATCAGTGAGGCCCAATATTTCAGGTCTTCTGAAGCTATATAATAACTTTGAATGAGACACAGGCTGCTACAAATGGGTAATTTATTCAGTGGAGATTCCGATCTGTGTGATTCACTAACAAATCAATTTGTGAACTGGCTTACCTGATTCACTGAAAAGATCAGATTCATAAGAATGAATTGTTTGAGTTTTCAGACATAAATTTAGTAAATAAAGAAAAGCAATTTTGTTGTCATTTTTCTGTCCAGATCTATTACTAAACACGTTATTCCTTTATACAATGACTTAAATACACCTCTAGTGTATAATCTGTATAATCACCTTTAATATCTAAATTAATCTAATTGTAAAATAATTAAATAATATGATAGCAATAAAAAATTTACAAACCTCTAAATATGTGATAAATAAATAATTAAATGCATCAATAAAAAAATCTGTAAAACTTTATTTTATGGTGTCTTGTTACACATGTTACATGTACTTACTATTACAATAACAATAAATTATGCATAATTACATGCAAGTAACCCTAAGACAAACCCTAATCCTAACCCTAACCATATAGTAAATACATGTAGTTAATTAATATTGCTCAGTACTTAAATGTATAATTACACTGTAACAAGGACACCTTAAAATAAAGTGTAACCCGAACAACTTAAGTCATACAGGCTGTGAATAAGTTATTTTCAAAATGTCCATGTCGGGGTGAAATATGCCTTTAATATTTTATACTGTTCCCATTAAATGACTGAAAAATGACAAGCTGTAATACTATACACCACACAAATAGACTTTTTGAGAGGTTGAAACCAATGCAAAACAGTTTGGTTCGCATAGTTGGTTGTTTATAGTTTGCGCAAGACGTGGAAATTGCACAAGAAACAACTAACAGCTAAACACACTTCCTGAAAGTCTGGGTAGAGGACTTGGGGTCTATTGCGCACACACACACACACACACACACACCTGCTGCTGTTGAAGGTGCAGTAAATCCACCGGGCTGATCTCCCCATTGGTGTCACCGTTGGACCCTCCCTCTCTTCCTCCGCCATCTGATTGGCTGCTTAGACTGCTGACTCCATTTTGATTGGAGGGTGTGGTTCGAATGGTCTCAGTTGCTGATTCTACCATCATCACGTGGCACCTTGGGGAAAAATAGAAGATATTGATTGACCATCAAGCATTTTTGGAAGTCCTAGAAAGAATGTTAGAATCTACATAGGCAATGTGTTTTATCACAAAAGCAAATATACACACTAACCAATAGCACAGATTCACAATCAACCCCACCAGAAAGTGTTTGTATGCAGTAGAAATACAGTGACACAGGTGTTAACCTTGATAAGAACATAGTAAACAAGCTGTGCGCCATACATCTATTTAGATATACCTAAAGAACCACCTGAGCCTCTGAACAGCCAATGGCTGCCAAGGACACAAACACGGAGGAAGGCGCAACAAAGGTCTGCCTGAAGAGATACTTGTGTCAAACCAAAATGGCATTGTGCCGTGAAAGAGTGCAGTGCTTTTCACTTTTACCAAAGGTTAAAAAACAGTGCAACAGCTTTAATCGAAGGACATTTGTCTTTGACAGAAAGTGTTGATGCACCCACCAGCGTGACAAAGAAGCCCTTTCAATTAGAAAAGCTGTACTCAAAAGACCAACCTCTCGTACACCTTATTATCAGCCGTACAAAAACACAAGCAACTTCAGGAATGCATTTACTGTCTTTAAGAGGTGACGAGAGTCCAAGAAAAAAGAAATAAGCCTTCAAATGAGTGAACGATTCAGTGAACTGGTGACTTATTGATGTGTATAGTATTATTAGAAAAAGAATTGAGTGCTCCTCAACTAAAAACAAGGAAATATGTCAATTGTGTTGTCATTTTTATTTAAAAATACATTAAGCATGCAATTCACACATAAAATTACTTGAATACACCTCTTCTGTTTTGTTTTTTTAATGTGAGTTAACAATTTATATATTTATATGCTTATTCATAAAGAAGAAAAAGCCAATAAAAGATCAAGATTCCTGAGAAGAAAATTAAGTAGTGATATATTAAATAGTTTGTCAAGGTTAGATCAGACTGTATAATATCATATTTTACAATCCCTAAAAAAGATATTTATTAAATTAACGATTTGTGTAAATGAATAAATCAAATGTTTTGTGTGTGTGTTTAAACGTATTCAAATGTTTCTGGTAACACCACATGAAATTAATTTAAAAAATAGTATAAACATTTTTCATAACTACATAATACAAACAGGAACACACAGAGTACATTTCTAAGAACTCGGCATGTGTGTTTTCATCTAGATTTTCACTATATTTTGCTTGCTTTATTTAACCTTGCCTTCTTATTTGTCATTGACGTGCTTATGAAAAGATATTCACTTAAAAACAAATTTCAATGACATGAAGCCCAGCATTGCGATTGCATTGTGGGAATGGTATTATCTACACATGTAGTACGTGCTGTGCAGTAAAGCTCGCCACAACAACAGCTGAAGACACAGATAGAGAAGACTCTTTATACCTGCTTCTACACCCAGATCTACATCAAGACGTTTTGGAAACTCAAGGGTGCTTTTATGGGTCCAGTAAGTTCACAGTAGGAATCACTTAAATGCACCTGGTTGAGGAGTTATATACTTCACCTAAAGCTGTCAACTGAGGCAGTCACGCGAAACTCACATGACTGAAGAGGATGCAGGCATGTCTTGTATCATGGGGGGCGCAAACCAAAAATGTGGGTAGTTTTATTGTCTGTGGACTTGTGAGAAACTCTAAACCATGTGCGGTTAATTTATATCCACCCAGACATGCAGGGGACAATACTAAAACCCAAAAAACTCTTCAGCTTCTTTTTCATCATATGCAAGAGTCTCAAGCTCTTTGAGATACGCAAGACTTGAAGGAACGAGCAGCTGCTAAGCGAGTGCATCACTGCCATATTAACCAGCCTGGGGTGTAAGCAAGCATGAAGCCTTGTCATATCCCGTAATGGGTGTATATTGCCGCTATAATGGAAGGTTGTAAATAAAGCAGCCCAATAAATCTGCACAGGGAACCTTTGATTATGGCTGTGAGACCAAAGTTTGCAGCGTCTTGTAATTGTTTTTGGCAAGCTCATCTAAGCCGCCAATGTCGAGGCTTGCTGCATCTTGTTTAGCCCCTGAAGCCCCCTCTAGCTGAACTTTGACCTGTGAGAACAGAGGAAGGTGCATTTTTCTTCTAAGGGGGAGGGAGGGATACAGAAAGGGTGGGCGTTCTTTTTCAGATCGAAGAGATAAAATGTGCATTTTGAGGGAGGGTGAGGTAAAAATAACAAAAAAAAGACACGTTTGCCTTTTAATTGGGACGGAGGAGAAATGGGACCAAACTTGCCTTTGCTTCAGGGACAAAATCAACAAAAAAAAGCTTGCAACAGATAAAAAAAAAAAACACAGGACCAGCGTCTTCGCAACATGGTAACGCAATGCATTTATGTTCTAATATCAGCAGATTTTCTTTGGCACTTACAAGAAAGGGTGGAGGGGATGGTGATTCATTCTCTATCCTGTTTCTGCAAGTACTGAGGCTGCAACAAGGGATCATGGGAACTTCTGTGACTGCTTGTTAAAAGCTGTTTATATTGCTGAGAGTTGCTAAGGTAAGACAGCAATGAATTCTGATTCGGCTCCAGAAGTGCATTTTAGTAAAAAGTGAAAGCTTTGTAGTTCTGGTGATTTTTTTCCATATGTGTATTAAAAAGGATGTAACACAAAAACAAACAAGGTCAGGAAATAGAGAGATGGCGAAACAAGCCACAGTTTATCTCACTCATGACTAAATCCCATCCTCCCCGAAGCAAAGATCCTCCATTCCCTCCTTTCTCGTTCTCTCTCTCCATCTACCCCCGAGGCAGCTGCAGTTCCGTTCCTGTGCTCAGGGTCGGAGTCGGCGGCTGGCACGGGAACAGAGGATTCAGAGAGAGCAGGGTTGAAAAGACGCCGTCTAAGCCAGGTAGGCCAAGGGGCGGAGGTCTCGTGGGTAAATCTCGTACAGGTGGGCCGTCACTTCACACCTTCTCAAAAAATAGCAAGCCCAGCGGGGACTAAAAGCTTCCAGTACTCCGACAGGGTCAGAGGTGAAAGGTAGATTGTCTTTTCCCAGCTCCCTTTTTTATTGTTTAGGGAACACCATTTACTGAAGACGTCAACACTGTAAACCGTAGACAAAGCATCAGGTGTTCCTGCCTACAGCTGTTTTGATTTTTCAAGCAATAAAAGCAGATGAGTCAATGACATATGAAGAAGAAAGAAATCTAATTGAAAACAAGTACAGTTCTTGGAATGTCCTCTATTTAAGCTTCAATTTAATGACTTGTGTGGTCTAACCAATAGTAAAATGTAAAATATATATTTCCTTATACCTTAAATTCATACATATATACATAAAGATCTTAATAATTTCTCCCGAAAAAAAAAAAAAATTTATATATATATAATTTTTAATTACTACTTCCTCTATTTAAGCTTCAATTTAATGACTTGTGTGGTCTAACCAATAGTAAAATGTAAAATATATATTTCCTTATACCTTAAATTCATACATATATACATAAAGATCTTAATAATTTCTCCCGAAAAAAAAAAAAATTTATATATATATAATTTTTAATTACTACTTTTTTTTTTATTACTACATTTTAGGGATTCACACCACATTTAACAATCTGAATTAACAAAAAATCTAAATTAATTTTAATTATTAAATAATTAACTTAACATGTATACTGAATAACATTTCAATGTATTTTTGTAGATGTCTATCATAATTATTTTCAAAAAAAGTCTTTAAATATATTTTTAATGTTAACACAAAGTATTACTTCATGAAATATCACTACACCAACATGGCATTTTACCCCCTAAATTAAACCAAAAAAATTTAATTGAATACCATTGTGTATTTTTGTAGATGTAGATTATAATTATCATCTTTTTTAATAAATTAACTCAAGCTACACTTCTGCAGAAGAGTGAATCTGTAAACGTTCGAATGACGACAGGCTCAGCGGCTGAAGCACAGATTCGTTGAAGTTGGAAGTGAATGTACCTCTGAACCAGTCTTTCATGGCCCGCTCGGCATGCTGAGAGCTTTGAAGAGGATTGAGGCTGTCGGATCCAGCTGGCTGATCCCAGATCAGCACATCTGCAACCCCAGACTGCGGACTGGACTCTGCGTTCCGGTCCGACTCCAAAACACAAGCCCCACTAATGCCCCCTGAATTCAGCACTTCCAGCCCGGATCATTACACCAGAGTGAAGATGGTAGACGGCCAGCGCCAGCTAACAGAATCAGTCTTTATTATTTCAGATGAAAATGAGTATATTTCAAATCCTTCACATAAAAGCTTATTACTGGCCTCTAAAACATTGAAAGCTCTATAACGGATAATTGACTGTGATACCTGAAATTTAATTTTACATGTTTTGCTTTTTTCCCTCTTGTTTGGGTCTCAGTGAAAGAAAATATGGCAAACATTAAACCAGCTAAAGAGTTTGTTTCACATTAAAAAGTTATGTTCAAGGAGCAATGTTTAAAATAATGCGAGGATTCAAGCTGTAACTAACTTGGCAATGTCGACAGACTGGTTTAAATTTGCAACTTCAGCTCTCCGGCACACACCAGAGCTCCATTTAACTACAAAGAGCATTACCCAGATCTAAAAAAATAAATAAAACAGGCTTAATAGAAGATGACAACTTTGAACAATATTTATAAAAATGGAATACCGCTTTATTCTGCCAGTCCTTTCCCACTTTTTGTTTTATCACTGACTCATTCATTTACTCCATCTTTCCTGTCCTCTTCTTTATATAGGAACTTTTCAAGGCATATGCGGAACCGTTTCACATTTTTTTCAGGGGATGTTCGCTTTTTTGTCTTCCTTTGCACCTGTGGAACAGCTCTTTCTGCACGTTACGCACACGCTAGCACACACAGACATCTTTCTCAGTAGTTTTTTTTTTCTTTTCAGCAGCTTACCAGATTAATAACTCTTTATCATGTTAAGCCTTATACAGGTCTATTTATATAAGTCCCACAAAGGCTGTTTCTAGAGTCTTGCATCAGCTCGCAGGAATGCTCT